GTTAGTCAACCAAGGCTTATCCCATTGTGCCACCAAGGACTCTTCCAAGCAACAGCCTACGGTCTCTTAAAATTATAAACTTCCATAGAGATGACCCTAGCAGCTTTGATTGCAGTTTTCAGACTATTTAAGGTGCAAGCTCCTAGGCCAGACCAGAGAAAGGACATAAAACGTAAACTTGATTTCCAGTCAGGCTGCCCGAAAGCAAATCTCTCCTTCCATCTAGAACTCAATTCTGGAGACGTTCTGAAGAGATCTCCGGCTGGGCATGACTCTCTCCTGGGAGGACTTTTGAGGAGAACAGCTTGTGTGGGTTAGGTATTTATGGGAACGGTAGTGAGCATGACTGAATGAAATGTTGTCAGCAGGCAGCCTACGAGAGATGGCTCTGGAGAATGTGATGGTGGGAAAGGGGCCTAAGATGGAATGAAGGAACAATGGGGAAGGAGGGAGGGGGCCGAAGAGAGATAAGGAAGAGATGCAATGGGGAGTGTGTTAGACGGGGTCGACTAGAGAAACAAATCCAGTGACACTTATATATGTGTAAGAAAGAGCTTCCTATCTAGAAGTAGTTATATATCAGGAAAACATCCCAGCCCAGTCCAACTCAGGTCCATAAGTCCAACACTAGTCCATAAGTCCCTCTTCAGACTCACACAGCCACATGCAATGACGCAGAATGCAGGAAGATCACAGGCCGGTGGATGAAAAGTCTTGTGGATCCAACATCAGTGGAAGCGTCCCAGGGCTCTCCCAGGGCTCAGCGTAGCTTGTCAACAGGAAGGTGAAGACAGGGGTTGGGGAGAGGATATTCCTAGGACCCTCCTTATGAGAAGGCCAAGCCCACAAGGAGGCATCATCAGGCTGTGACCTGATTGGCAGGTTAGAATCCACCACTACACTTTATCAAGTTGACATGAAACTTCGTCACTACCGGAGGGAGAAATGAAAAAAATTTTGAGTAAATTAAAGACGAGTAGGGGAAAGGGGGAAAGAAGGCGGGGCAGGAGTAGGGCAGACCGGCTACAGCAGAGAAACAAGAGAGTAAGGGAGCCAGGAGGGGTACAGTGAGAGGCTGGTACAGGGAGACTTAGAGGGGGCAGAGGCTCTGGCCTCTCTTGAGCAAGGCTTTCGCTTCCACTGACCTTTGAGGATCTCAGTCCTTCACTTTGTTTTCAGTGAACACGCATGTTGGGTCCCCCTTTGGCAATCCCTACACAAGACGTTCAGCGGCATTAGCTCTGTTTACCACAGTGTGTCAATACTCTCGTTAACTGTGCTCGGGTTGTTCTGTTTCCAGCACTCGAGTGTCCCTGTCCCCCCTCCTTCGCATCTTTGCTTGAGAGCCCTGGTTGACATTTGGTCTCATAGAGATGTTTTTTTAAGTGGAGTCTCCCCTTTGGGATGCTTATTTTGAGATCTCCTGGCTTGTCTGGGACATAAAATGTCCTTCAGCCGTAGAAGTCTAAATGTTTTGTGTGTGTACAAAGAGAGGTCCTGCACAAAACACACCAGCTGGCTCAGACACAGCAGGGTATGTGGGGGGACGGGTGTT